CCCGCCCGCGGTTGCCCGTTCTGAATTGCGGCTCCTGGCCCTCCCGCCCGGCCGGGCCACCCTGCTCCTCCTGCCTCTCTTGTCGGGATTTTTCGTGGATCTTGGAGACGGCGGCAAACGCAGCACGAGCTGCTCCGTGCCTTAGCGCCGCGCTCGCCTCTCCTTCCGCTGCCGAGCCTTTGGCGGACACGACTTTGCCCTCTCTCTCACCGGTTCCCCCTTGCCGGATGAGCCCTAGGGAGTCAAAGCCGACGAGAGCAGGACAACGAGGCGGGACAGTGGCAGAGGTCTTGTTTTCCCCAGGGAGCGAGCCAAACAAAGGGGAATTTTTCAGCTGCAAATTTGCTTTTTTTTTTTTTTTTTAAACTCCTCTCTCTTTCTCTCCCCCAGACATGACAGCATCTTTCCCGCTCGCCGGGACGCCCGGCACCGATCTCCTCGGCTGCCTGCTTTGATTTGGGCTCCTGAGACTGCGGATGATTTAGCGCATGGTGGGAAATGGAGTCTAGAGCTCAAGGGAAAAAGAGGAGAGGGGCTGTCTCACCCCTTCGCTGCAACTCCTCGACGCCCAAACTGGAACACGCCGAATATTTGGCTCTTCAGCAACAAAGACAAACCCCCAGAACTGTCCTCTTATTGAAGCACCTCCAGGAGAGGTGGTGGGGGGAGAAAAAAACACCGCGAAGAAATCGATTTTCGATCGAAAACCAGTTGGAACGAAACATTTCCGTTTCGCCACCCTGCTGCGAGCGTGAAGGACGTGGCGATACCACAGTCAGCCCGGTTATGTTAAGAATATAGTCAAAAACCACCCCGTTCGCTGGAGGCCAGAGCAAACCCAACGTGCACCAGGTCTTGCCCTCGCCCCCAAGAGGAGCGAAGCCGGCAGGGCTCTTCTGGGCCGTGGTGGCCAGTTGCTTCTCTTCCAGCAAGGGATAATCCAAGCCTATCTCAGCTTAGGAGCCCGGCGAAAACGTCGCAACAGATGTTCCTTTTCTGTATGGGAAAATGCCGAGGAAAACAAAGAAATATTCTGCTGAAGTCCAACATCTGTTTGAAGCTGTCTGGCTCCGGTTCAGGCTTTAATTCTTGTGACAGGTCTCTTCATGCCTTTAATTTCCCATGAAATCTAATTCGAGACGTCGCTTGTCTGCAGCCTGCTCCTGGCGTTGGGGAGAGCGCGGCTGCACGCAATCCAGCCGTTCCTCGCCCCGATTTCGAGGCCGTCGTAGGGTCTGCTGGCGAACGGAGGTGGGACGCTCCGAGCTGAAGTCGGCTGCGAATTTAAGCTGTCGCTTCCGGTCTGGCAAACGAGGCTGGGCTGGATGAGAGAAGCTGTGTTCCCGTTGGAGGCACCGTTGCCGCTTGCAGAAGTCATCCGGAGCTGTCGCCTGGTTAAAGGAGTCGGCGTTTGTCCCCGGATTGGCTTTTGCACTCACGGAAAGCGGCCGCGTCCCGTGCGTTGCCCGGCCGTACCGTGGCTAGCTTTGCCCAGCTGCAATATTAAACAGCACTCCTTAAATGCAGGTATCGTCTTCTGGGCGGATGCACTTCGGAATTGCGTTTGCAGCAGAAAACAAAATTGCGACTTTGGACAGGACCGCTTCGAGAGCGTTTTTGGTCCCAACCCGCCCGCCCCGCTAAAAATCGAGGGAGACGCAACAATCTGGGTGAGCTCAGGTGCTGAAATGACGGCGAACTTAAGACAGGGTGAACATTCACGCGGTTGTTCCTGCCCCGGGACCGCTGGCATCCCGCCCTGCCGCTTC